TAGGCGGCGGGCCGGGCGAGCCTCTGGTACCAGGGTGGGCTGGAGGAGGCGGGTTTTGCCCCGCTGCCTTCCACGCCTTCGCAGGCACTGGGGGCGTCGCACGTCATCGCTTTCCCACGCACAAGGAGGTGAGCCCTGAAACCTGCGTGTCCGGTCGTCTGGGCGTGTTGGAACCGCGACGCGATTCCTTTCCGCGGTGTCGCTTCACTCTGTCGTCCCGAGGGAGCGCTCGGCCTGAGGGGAGAACGAGGGCAGCGCTGAGCGAGGTGGCTGCCCACGGCGAGGCGTCTCCGTGGTGCGGCCCGCCCTTTGCGGCCGCTGCTCTTTCCTCTACCATAAGTTACTCTCAAACGTTACTTCAGTCACTCAGCTGACCAACAATATTGTAAAAGCTTCCTTAAAACATCTTCCCAGGGTGATAAACGTCTACCCAGGAGACATAGGACATGAGGGAGAAGGCAGACCCCAACTTTAAAGAGCATTAAAAACACAGGTGCAGTATACCCTGCTGTTACTTTTCCCCAGAAGGAATTCACACACATAGTATTACACAATTAGTCTAAGGCCGTATATCAAAAATGTAGTAACAAGAATGAAAAACTCCTTTACTAGTAAGATTCAGTGCAAAATCTTGTTGCTGTCTTTTGTTTTAAGAGCTAAAGATTTATTCTAGAAAGATTTTGGCAAGAAATTCATCCAGTGTCATTGTTTCACCTTGTACAGGCCAATTAAAGTGTAACTAGTCTCATTTGTTATGGTAATGAGAGGCCTTTTTACTCCTTCCTCATATTTTATTAATAATTTGCCAGATATCTTTCTTTAGGTGCCCTGAGTTAGTGAGCATATTCAGGGAAAGTTCATCCCAAGTTTCTGATCATGTACTCTAGAGAGAGAAAAAAACAAATCAAATGTTAAATGTGCACTTGCAGCCCTGAAAACCAATTGTATACTGGGCTGCATCTAAAGAAGTGTGGCCAGCGGGTCAAGGGAGGTGATTCTGCCCCTCTGCTCCATTCTGGTGAGATCCCTGCTTGAAGTATTGTAACTCTCTAACCCCTACTGTACTGTCACCTATGTGGGGCTCGGCTCTGCTGCATAACCTTGGCTCAGACTCTGAGGAAACCAAAGTCCTTGCAGGACTCTACAGCCTGAGGTAGGATTGTTGAGATGGGGATGACTCAAGGATTCAACTTGGAAGCATCACTGGAAAACAATCAGCATGGAAAGGTTGATGCTTGAACACAATGACAAAAGGGAAACAGAACTTTACCTGACTCTAAATCCTCTGCATGATGTAGTGGACTTAACTGGTCCTCAACTTTGGTTATGATTAACTACAGTTTTTAGAATGTCGAACAATTCATCCAAGATTATCTGGAAGGTAGTTTTCTTATTTCCAAGTAGCTTGCTGGACATCAGGGGGCACTGTTTCACCACCCGCAATTTAAACAGACAATGCAGCATTGGTCTAGTGTAATACACTGGATTTTATGTTGTACTTAATTCCTAATCCTTCCTACAGGTGGACATTGAATCCTTTTCACTACTTTTCATCTTTATGTGTTATCACAGTTTTAACCTAGATGGATGGATGGATGGATAGATAGATAAAATAGACAGATATATAAATAGATATATAAATAGATATATAAAATTAATAAGACCTGGGTTAGAAAGACCTGGGCTTCTTACAAAATCTTAGAAAAAAACCAATTTCCAGAAATGTACCGGAACTCAATTAAATGAGATACGTAGTTACAAAGGTACCCAGTAGGTAGTTCTGTAAAGACAGATGCAGAGTACTTTGTTTCATTTAAACAAAAAAACCCAAAGATTTTAGTGACTGAGTTGTTTACAGATAGATTAAGAAGCATCACTGAAGAAAAACACAGGGCTAGTATTTTAATAATTTATATTTAAGATATGCATGCTTTAAAAAAAATCTTTTAATATTTGTGAGGTAGGAAGACAAATGTCTTTGGCCTCTGATATCTCTTCCAGTGAACTTTCCAGTGAAAGACAGCGTACCATATGAAGAACACCTAGTATTTCTTTTCAAAGTAATGAAGAAACATTGATTATTTTAAATGGAGATCATTGTTCAAAATAAAATACTAATTTCTCAAGTATAGACATTTCCTACTTCTTGCAGTGTGTGAAATAGAGATAAAAAATATTCTCTTTTCCCTGTAGAGAGTACGCCTAACCTTGTCAGGGAGAACCCAGCCTCTCAATCAAATATATTCTAGTTGAAATGCATGCAGGCTGAGAACTTGATTCCTAAAGACCATAACAAAACAGAAGCATTCATCTGAAAAGCAAATTCTAGCCATGCAGTTAATTCTTTCAGAATAAAGGGCGTAGCAAGTCACACAAGTTTCAGTAAATTAAAAAGGCACAGATAAAGCAGGTGAACCCACATCTATCACCAGAAACCTGTTTTTATGTGGGAAGAGAGAGTAAGGATTTAGATGAGTTGTGTGAAACAACTCATTACAGCATCACGGTGCCTGGAGTAGGACTAAGCACAATAGACTGAATATGGCTTACCTGTTTGCTACTTGACATAGCAAGTAAGGATACTGGAAAGGTGCCTTACAGCTAAATCCTTGCTTTTGACAAATATTACAGTATGATTAGAACTTCAGATGGTCCAATGTCACTTAAGTGTGTGTGGATGAATCGACAGGAAAATTGTTTTCAGCTTTGTTTACTTGAAAATAACTTCTAAGCATATAAGCAGGGTTTTCTAATACTTCAGGCCAAGAACAGCCGTAGTTTTCTCAAGTACTGAGAAATTCAGGAACTAGAAGAAAGAAATCATTTGGAAATTACGTAGTGAACAAGAAGTGCACTGACTCAACTGATACAGCAAATGGTAAAAGAATGTGAAGACTGCCAGCAAACACAGTGCATGTTTAAACATGCTGCTTCTGCATGCTTCAAAACAGCCAAGTGCTCTGCAGCAACAAATCTACATAAAGTACAAGGGACGTAAGTTTGAATTTGCTGTTCATTTCTACTGTAAATAGACTGATATATCCTGTATAAACTTAACTAATTCAAAGCAGACTGGAAGCCTTTATTTTTAAGGACTGGCACTTCATTGCTGGTTGTAAATGAAACAAAGTAGTCTTATCTGAAGAGTTCCAATTACTTTGTCAAAATAAACTGATGAGATAGACTACATTAGGTCTTCACCATCATGTCACAAAATGGCAAGTGATGAATGATGTATCCCTCAACATCAGTAACTCAAAATTCTGAGTGCATGTTTTACACTAAAGAGAAAGGAGGTATAGTACCCCTTTTAAGTGTTTCTTTGAACCCTCTGACATCACCCACCATATTCTAACCTTTCAAAGCCACTGTAGATTGTATTTTGCATTGGCAAGTATTTAATAACCATGGTTATTTGTTACCAGCTGTGCCCATGCTGTTTCTTCATACTGCATTGTGCAAAGAGGACTAATAAACCAGGCTCCTCTACACTGCCATGACCCTGGAGCCATTTGTCCCAGCTGGCAAAAGCACCAGGTTTCCTGAGATACAGGTGCAGGAGCAAGAAGCAGGTGTGTGTCGGCCGTCCCCAGGGTGCTGCCGGTGTACAACGCATGCGCAGAGTGACTGGATTGCCTACATTCACATGGAAAAATGCTAACTCCTCAGCTGATATTTTTCTCCTCTTTCCTCTCAGAAACAACTAGCAAAACCTAGACGTAAAAAATTTTCATTATGAAAATGTAGCTGAACCAATAAAACTTCAAGAATTTTCCTTGAACAACCATTTTTATAAAATCACATTATCTGAAAATATTCCATTCACATCTAGCGAGTAACGCACATGTATAATCTCACTGATGTCATATACATGCACACATTAGCACACAAAACCATTACAGATCTAAGCAACTCACTATGCAGAAAATATGTCTCTTTATCTAGGGACACCAAAAGTGGAAAAGCTTTGCTGCTTTCAAAATAACGTTCTAATTTTTTTCCTGAAGGCGAATTCAGCATTTTTTAAAACAGTAGCTGTTTGAGTGGATGAAGAACAGGTGGGAGTCTTCAAACTCTTAGCTAGCTGGCTTACTATTCTATAAGTGGGCAATATGTGTAAATTGCATCAAATCTTTCTCATCTCATTTTCCATTTCCAATGTCTAGATTTGCCTTTCAGTTACTAGTCACATTATTCAGATCACAAACTCTTTCAAACACAGGGTATCTACTTGTTCTCCATTTTCACACTGCTGAACACAACTGAATCTTAGTCCATGACCACAGCCCCAGCAATATGAAACAATAGTAGTAATTAAAACAGGACAATTTCTTTATTGTCAAGAAACCTATTTTCATGGCATGGCCTTCAGAAGACTTACACCATGAAAGGATTAATCAAGAGTAATATAGCTATAATTTCTGAAGTAAAGGGAAAATATTTTCATATGCAAATAGTTTGGCTCCAATTCCTTCATACTGCTAAGAAAGCAACAGCATCAAGTTCAGTCATGGGAAGGCAGAACTTCAAGGACAGCCCTTTGGAGACTGAAAACAAACAGGTTAAAATGTAAGCTGGAAAGTGTCTGGAATTTTTTTTAACTCCCATCAATGGTCCAGGTTCCACATGGTTAAATTAGAGTTGCCACAGTTTGTTAAACATTGAATACCCCTCCCAAAAAGCAATGGGCTCTGTAATTACTCCACAGTAGGTCAAAAAGCTTTCTTGTTTCCTCAAGTTCAATAATCACAAGTTGTAAAAATTCTCTCACTCGGAGGTTGAAGCAATAAAATGACTAGTACAGGGGCTGTAAACTAAGGTGCAAAGAGAAACCAATGAACTTTGGTAAGAGCTATTACTAACTGAAAAAATGGGGGAAACTCATGAACTAGGAAAGTAGTCACAACACGAAAACTATTATAGCAAGAGGGGAGGAAAAAAATATTTAAAAAGCATTCTGTGAGCTATGGAACAGTCAGCTCTCTTAACCCTACTCTCTGCTGTTTGCTGTATTAGGCTAAATGGTGTTTGTGGGATGAGATCCTCCTGCTCAGCTCATGGGTGTATTTATTCACCTTTGCTTGGGGTATGACTACACACAGGTCGGGGTGAGGCAAGAGTGAGTGGGGATTTCCAGCAGGTTACCTGCTCCATGGAAGCTGCCTCTGTGCGTGGTGTGACCCTGTTTATGTTGAGGAATAAACATCATCTGCTTACTGCTGGATGCAGCTGTGGCCATAGGTTGTTACCGTGGGCTACCCGACATACTGTAAATCCAGCTACCCTTGCAGTGACCTGTACATATAGACAAGTCCGGTAGAAGCAAATTTAATGGCAGACACCTCCAGGTTGTGAGAAAAGTACTTGAAGTGCCTTCTGATAACACCATACTGACAGACAGGACAACTATCTGTCTGCATTACCATGTGCTTTGCTTCTGGCTACAGTGCAGAGATGTTGTCATGCGGTAAAACATGGTAAAAACCATTTAGGACTCTCTCAAACAGTTCTAACAAGTGTTTTGACTAAGTTCCATCTGTATCTTCTTTCATAGAGGATGGCTAGAAGGGCAAAGAAAGGTATCTTAGATGCCAGAATTTAAACAATTCTAGTATAAATGGAACCTCTCCTACTACAACTTGCTATCTGGTGTTTTCCTCTGGGCCCTTTCCAAACTATACTAAAGCAGTGGCTGTTCTGAGGGATGGGGCACAATATGGAATTAATAGGCTTGCTTCTCTGGTACGAAGTAGTCTGGATGAAGAGTTACTCAGTTTTTTATATCTAATGCTGCACATTTTATGCAGCTTTGAATGCTGACAATAGATGTTCTATAAATGCTGTCAGTACAGGAGCCATGGAGATGTATTTTCAGGTAAGTAAAGGCAAGGATGACAAGCCTGTTACTGACCCCACCCACTGGAGTTAAGGCTAAGACCTGGCAGAGGGGTGAGGATGCCACAACATATCAGACAGGTTGGTTTCTATAATCCTCAGACGCAAATAGAACATGCATTACTTGCATGAGCATTTCTCTCCTGTGGCTACACCCTGTCTAGTTTTATGAACCTCTGAACCAACAGCCCTTTACCTCTTAGTAGATACTCTTACTTTCAGCCTGATAGAGAACCAAGCTGTGGGCTTCTGAAGCCAAGGACAGCTTTATAAGTGTTGCCACCGCCTCTGAACAGATTTCCACCTTCATTGTGCAAAATAATTTCAGCAAAATAAACAAACATGGCTATGTTTATAAACTGTGTTATCATTCAAAGACAAAAAAAGTCATGATCTAGTAACAGGCCAAAACCAAACAAAATGTGTAAATTAGCTTTTTTACAGTGTTCTGAAGTAGTTAAACACTCAGTCTAGCAGAAAAACATATGACAGCTCAATTTATTTTCTTATTGGCTCTATATTTGACCAGATCCGTATGGCTGACACACTTAAGTTCTCCATGACTCCAAATGTTCTCATTATTCAAATCAATGTAACAATACTTACCTGTTATATCGTGGTTTTCAAGCCTGCAGAAAAAAAAAATATGCAGAAACACCGATTTTATTACACTTCTTTGAGCAGCAGCATATATCAATTTATGAAGGTGTGGAATCTTCAGAAACACACCAAAGACACAACACTGTATATAATTTCTCAATGTTGTCCTCTTTCTACAGTCCTTTCAAGGCTTCTGTCTATGCAGATGGTACAGTCTGCAAAAAAAGTTGAACACCAACATTGTAAAACTGTCCTAATAAGAAGTTCCTGAGCAAGTCTATAATGTAGATAATGTAAACAGCAATGTCTACCGTCCAAAAAACCTGTTTGCACTTTTGAGCAGAAGGCTGTTACTGGTTGGTTGTAACTTTGTCAGTCTTAACCAGTTAAAAGTCATCATGAATTTTCAAAAGTTTTGTTGGGAAAACACTAAGACGACTATGTTTTGCAACTTGGTATAATACATGGCCTATTTTCTAGGGATGAGACTGTGGTTATCTTCAAAAGGGTACACCCAAAACCAATCGGGTTTGCAGCCTCAGAGCTAGATTGCCAAATACTCCAGTGGCACTGATCATGCTCTCTCCACTCATCTCCCTGATCTGCTGACCACGGTGCATGTCACAGCCCCACCTTGCATCATTTCCCGATACTTCGGGGGTGACTCATGCATCATCAGCGCAACTTTCCCTGAAAGCAGATTTTGTCCCTTTCCTGTGCCTGGGCAGTATCACAAAGCCCACTTACCCAATTTCTAGGGAAGACCTGGAAATGACCTCGTAAGGACCAGGCCAGACCCCAGTATCGCACTAATTCTTACTGACTCCAGAAAGAGCTGGATTTATCTCCTCGGAGCTGATCCACAGTTCACTGAAGTCAACAGAAAATCTTCCACTGGCGTCAGCAGCTCTGGGATACTTCAGTGAACTGAACTTTATTCTCCAAACAGATCTGGAGCAGATTACAGAGAAAATGTTGAAAAATACAGATCACATGAATTTTCCAAACATAAGTTTACATATACTCTAGGGCCTGGAGATCAAAACTTCTTTTTTTTTTAATCTCTTTGCTATATGGTAGAGCCAGTAATGTGCTCGTAGCATTTAAATCGTAATTTGTCTGAGCTGTAATTATGCTTTAATTAGCGTAAACCACAACTAGGCTACACTGCAGTGCCTAATCAGCATTCAGCTATTTGATAAGAGGAGGTATCTCCCACAGTCGATAAAATTATCCTGTTTATAACCAGTAAGCAAGGCCTTACCTTTAGAGCTGTACACTGAGGAAAATTAATACAGAATAGCCATTGAATAGAATCACGTATTTCAGCAAAGAGAGTCCTATATTGCCACAAAAGGTACAGAAAAGACCTTCCAACCACCTAGACACCAAGGTATCTGCCTAATGAAGCTACTTCGATATCTGGGTCCTTTTATCTTTTTAACCATATGCCTACTCCATTGGCTTTGAATCCATGGAGAAGCTTCCCTCAAAACAACCTGGAAAGAGGGTAAGATTAACGCTGTTGTGAATGGTCCCTCATTTCCATTGCTTTGCTGAGGAATGACATAGTGTAGAGCAACCCTCTCTGCTTCTAAAATACTGAGCAATGTTTAAACAATAATTTATTCAGATTTGAAAACTCAGGGAAAGGATAGATAATGAGCTCTTTATTAGCTCCTGCAAATTAGAGCCAAATTAAATGCTGAACTACAAAATGCAACATGAGGCACCTATCTTCGCACCACAGTTACAGTATGGCTTTCTATAGGTGGTAAGTAACAGTTTGGGAAAAACATAACGTGTCACAGTAAAAACTGAAACACACTGTACCAGGCTTCTTTAGTCCACACATATTCCCTAAGACTATTCAACCCCTAGACACTAAAGGTTATGGCTATTTTTTGTATACTGACAATAAAGACCCATGTGGTATTTGGAGGTGGCTGAAGAAGCAGTGCTACTTGCAGTAGTAGCCACTGTGAGGTTTCAGGCTAAGGCTTGGGCTTTTAAAACGAGACACAGAGGCTTACCTACACAGCACAAGGGCCAGGAGAAAAGGGAGGAACAGCACGTACCCAGCCTGTTTTGTTCTTCTACATGTACATCTATTTTTTTTTAAAAAAAAAAAGGGCAAAAGCCTACCATAAAATTTACTGTTGCTTATTATCGAGGCTTACGTAGTTCAGCTTGGTGATTTGATAACAACAAGGCAACTCTTCTTATCTTGAACAAACTGATGCATTTACATAGAATATGAGCTTTCCAATAAGGCAGGCATTTCTGAGCCTATTGATCCTGCTCATCTTTCTGAGGAATGCCATCATTTAACAGCAGCAGTGCAAGAAGTCCATATCTGAGACTTTAAAGTCTTCCCAAGTTTTTCACATTGCTCTTATTTCATCATGCTCTTATTTTGAGTCTTTGTCAAGTGTATCAGAAGAGTATTAAGAAGCCACACATAACCGCAAGAATCAAGATAAATGCTGCAAACGTCTAATTTGGGCTGTACCGTGAGCAGACCCAAAGAACATTCATTTAACTTGGACCTACCCGAGACAGCACCTACCTGCTTTCAGGGGGCTGTAGACAACAGTAAACACGAAACCACAGATAAAACACAAACACAGCTGTGCAGAGACAAAACCACAAAAATAGTAACCTGCACTTTAATTTCAGAACATGCAAAGGTTTCAAAGAGTTCTCAAACAAAAATAATTAATACACAAAAGCAGCAACATGTTTTTATCATGTAGCAAATGTGAACACCGGTAAGAGGAAGTTTCAAGTCTTTGGAAACACTGTTGACTTCTCATACATGCAGGAACAGACTTAGAGGGATGTCATTCTGGTTTTCTCCTCTACTAAAATAACTTGTTTTTCTAGGACACTAATATATCTTTCAAAAATATCTACACATTTTTTAACTGAATTAATAAACTCAAAAAAAGCTTCAGAACATTTTCAGTATGCCATACCTATCCTTCTGGCATTGCTTTTGCACTTTGGAAAGCCATTCTAAAATCTGCGGCAGGCTTTCCTATGTTTCCTCCTCAGCAACTTCGCAGGGCTCTGGCACAACCTATTTCGTAGGATCCCACAAAACTGTGTTGCTCAGAGACAAAGGGCCGAAGACTGTATTTTGCTGAACAAGGAAGTGTGGATACTGCAGCACTGGAAGTGACTCTTCTCAGAGCAGCCCTCAGGTACAGTCATCTACTGTGTATGTTAGAACAGAACACCAAACAAAAAAAACCCCACAACCAGCAGAAAGGAGACTTAAGAATTTAGTTTATATGTACATATAGGTGTTCTGTTTTTTCTTAACTGTGGGATTATCAGGATTTAAACTCTAAGTCCTTACAGGGTAGTTCAGAGGGCACCACTGGATGTGAACAAAACTAACTATAAAGTGTGAATATTTATTACTTGTTCTCAGCTTGCTAGAGTGGACTGTGGGAGTGATTGTGGCCGCCTGCCCGCAGGGGAGAGAAGAAAACACACACAACCCCCTCCGCTCCCTCCTGAAGGAAAGGAGACGCAGGGCCCGGCAGCCACAAGGCCAGGACAAAGCCCTCGGGACCGGCCACCGTCAGGGCTGCCAGCAGTGGAAGCCCTGTCGCCGTTCTGGCCCTCTCAAGGTCAGCGACGAGAGCTAGAAGCCCCAAACGAGGTGAGGGGCCAGCTTTGCTTCTCCGGCCTGTGTGTCACCCTGCGGAGCAGCCTCCCCGCCCCGCAAAGCAAACACACTCAGAGGCTTCCCCCCATGACTAACAGTTTCTCCTCAACGGCGGGGACCGCCAGCCCCGG